GCGGCGGCCCGGCGACGGGCGGCCTCGCAGCTCCGCCTCCTCGCGGCCGCCTCCCCGCCCCCCGCGGCCGCAGCGGCGCCAGCCGCGTCCCTCCCGGGCCTGGGCGAGCGTACCCAGGCGGAGCGGGTACCGAGACGGAGGGCGGGCGGGCGGAACGCGAAGGCCCGGGACCCTAGCCCGCCTTCCGCGCCATCGGGGCGGGGCCAGGGACCCTCACCGATTCGAGGACCCGCCTCTGGGCCCATGGGGCAAAGACTGAGCCTGGGGTCGCACAGGAAGTTCCTGCGTGGGGCCATGGAACCCCAGCCTCCGGTGTTCCCCTGCCCTTCTGGACCACACTGCGGACCCACACCTCTCCTGCTACCCAGCAGGTACAATGAGCTTTTGGTCAGCTGTAACGCTGTGAAGCAGCTCTTTCACCTACTTAGGCTGCTTAGCACCTGATTAGCTTCAGGAAGTACCATGCACATCGCCTTAATTGCGGTGAGGGACAGGGGACAATGTACAGTAGCCACAACACGCCTGATCTGTATCCACACCAGTGTTTACACGTTAGCCTAGTCTGTGAAGACAGTGTATTCTCAGACACTGGCATTTCACCTCTGTCTTCTGGCCACTATGAGCTACATCATCTTCCACACCTAAGTTCATTGTGTGGAGGTACTTTAGTTCCAACCGGGGGGGGGGGGGGGGTCTGTACCTGAGCAGCTGTCCCACCTTGGGATATTAGTGTGTTCCATTACTCTAACTGTCCAAAGGACAAAAAAACTGTGCCACCTGCAGCTTCTGCCAAAATTCTAAGATTCTATCAGCTCATATGTAAAAACAAAACCAGAAACATTTGGGTTATGACTTGTTGATCTACAGATGATCTGCTTAATTAGTAAGCAAAAAAAAAAAAAAAAAAAAAAGTACTTGTTGCTGAATGAGATCTAAGAGACAAGTTCCAATTATTAAGCAAATTTAAAACTAGTTTGGGATATGACCTTTATTGAGCTTATCCACCAGAGTGGAAATAATGTCTGTACAAAACCAAATGTTTGTTACTATAACTTCTGCATCACAATTAAAATCCAAACAGTTTTTTAAAAACAGTCAACTCAATCAAAAACCCCACTACTTCAGAATCAATAGCTTCTTTGAAGCCACAGTAACACTTAAATATGGTTAAGACTCAAATGCAGAAATTTGGTTGGCTGGAAGGCTAATTAAGCCTCCAACTTGCTCAAATAGAATTACAAAAAGGCAAAATTGTGTTTTTCACAGAGATACAGTCCACTGGAATCACCAACACTGGACAGCTGTTAAGAATATTTAGAGTCCTGAGATAATAAGAAATCCAGGCATCCTTAGACGGTCTTCTGTTGTCCTTTCTTCCCAATCAGAGATTTGTGGATATGTGGGATGACACCTAGGAGACAAAGAAATTAATTCTACTTTTCGTAGAAACATTATTAAGTAGCACAAGGAATCAAAGCAGGTAATTCTGCAACTTGAAAGGTCTTTTAAAAACATGAGGATCAAATAGAAAGTAAAACTATGAATTAAAAGAACAATGGTCTTAACAAAACCTGAGCGATGCAGGAAAAACCAAATTTCCTAAAACACTTTTATCAAAAGATACTGCCCTCTTCTAGAAGCAATGGTTCTTAAATGGAACGTAGTTATGAGTTTTAGTAATGACATACCACCACCAGCAATTGTAGCCTTGATCAGAGAGTCCAACTCTTCATCTCCACGAATAGCAAGTTGCAAATGACGAGGGGTAATACGCTTTACCTTTAAGTCTTTTGATGCATTTCCTGCCAATTCAAGTACCTAAAAGGCAAAAATCTGATGATCAATCTCCCAACATACTTTTCAGTCAAGAACGAGGCTCACCAAACCTCAACGATGTTTATCTACCAACTGTCGTCATCACCCCACTACCTGAATGACAAAATTATGCAAAGTATGCAGAGGATGGAAGGGGCACGGGATTGCATTTGCAAGAGCAGCAAAAGTCTGGCTCAGCAGGCTCCTTGACTGAACACTAGCTCCCTCTAGCGCTCTCTCGGTCTGCGCGCCGCGCTTACGGCCTGGGAGTTTTCTTGCATCACTTTCCTCCTTCCCTCGCCACTTTCCCCCGCCCCCCCAAAAGCTTTTCCAGCTCACAGGCGTACACCCGTTTACCTCTGCGGTGAGGTACTCCAGGATGGCTGCGCTGTACACAGCGGCGGTCGCGCCCACACGTCCGTGGCTGGTTGTCCTAGATTTCAGGTGTCGATGAATACGGCCCACAGGGAACTTGATTTTTAGGCGCACAAACAAAAACGCACAAAGATAGGGAGATTCAGAGATAGAAAAGGCGAGGTGCGCGCCAAGGCCGAGGACGCTGGTGCACCAACGCGCGCCCTGGCAAGGCAACACATGCGATCGACGCCCCGCCACCCCGAGATCCACCGTCTCCGCGGGCCGAGTCGCGACACATCACCCACGCAAAGATGGAACACCCGTGCGGGGAGCCGACAAACAAGCGGGGGGTGGGGGGGAAGCGCACAGATAAAGGCCGGCTCGCCCGACTGCGGCGGCGGCTACCTACCTGCAAGCCGGCTCGCTGCGAGCGGGAAACCGCCTTTGTCTTGGCCTTTCCGGAGTCCTTTCCAGCCTTACCGCCAGCCTGCGGCGCCGCCGACGCCCGCGAGCCCGGGAGGGACGGAGCAGAGATAGGATTACCCAGGCGGCCGGGCCCCTCCCCCACCGCGGCGCGTCCCGGAGGCCGGCGCGCGCTCTCCGCCCGCCGGGGTCCCCGGGCCGCCGCTCGCCCCCGCCTCCTCCCCGCCG